GGCTTCCAGTTTGCGCAAGAGAATCGGTGGTTGACCGAGTCGAAGGCTTTCCTGAAATCGAAATAGCACACTTCGACTCGGCCCCCTGCGTCCAACGTGTCTGTTACCTTGTCCAGAAATGATAGGAGGTTAGTGAGGCACAACTTTCTGTTGACAAAGCCGTGTTGTTGGCCAGCTGTGAGGTGTTGGTCGTCCAATTAACTCACCAACTTCTCTCTGAGGAGCCACTCGAAGGTTTTCAGGACAATTGAAGGTTGGCTTACTGGACGATGGTTCGATGCAGCCGCCCTTCATCCTCCCTTATGGATTGGGACCACCTCTGCCGTGGTCCAGTCGGCCGGCAGCGTTGCAGAGACAAGGGATCGGTTGTAAAGCTGAGTAAGCGCACCTTCAATAATGTCAGCAATGGGCCGCAGTATTGCTGGACGCAGCTCATCCGGGCCCGCAGCCTTGTTCTTATCAAGCTGTTTCAGTGCTGCTTCTACCTCCTTTGCCTCTAATACAAACGGGGCCATTGTAGTGGCTGACTGGGAGAAGCCATCTTGATTATTTAACTAGTCACTCTCGTTTCCTCCTTTTCCTCGGACAGGCCACGCAGTCGGGGGAAATCACCTCAAGGGTGAAGAGCCGAATAGACCAATCAAGAGGGACCAAACTGCGTATGAAAAACCCAAAGAACTGTGATTGACTGTCGTGTTTCCCCCAGAACTAGCCCTCATATATACCAATGTACATTTTTATTATACACACGCTGTTGCCTGTAAAATAGACGTTTCTTCACTCATCTGTCTTCTGCTGAGTGCTGTGTAATCGAAAGCGCAGAGCACTCGAACCGTGTCGTTCCTTGTTGCAGCCAGTCGTGTTTGGCACCCACGGCTTGACCCGAAATCAACTGCACATCCTACATAAAGATGTCAGAATTTTCCAGTCCTGCGAAAGAATTTGCCCGGCTTTTTGGTCCGTTCGCAGAAGTTTGGGGCAAAGCTGGAGACCGTGTCACCGTACTAAAGGATCCCACCGCTCATGGCTCCGGAAAAATTCGTACCTACAGAAGATTTCGACGTTTGGGAATCACAGGTACGACGTTATGTTCGCAAGCTGCCGTTAACATCTCGGGCAGATGCGGTGATCAATTTGTCATCGAGGGAACCTACAAGTTAGTCATGTACTTCGATCTCCCGGACGATGTGGATACCCTTGTGGTAACCCTGAGGCGACAACTAGCTGGACCAAAAACAGCATTAGAATACCAGGAGGAGTTTTATATGCGACAGCAGCGACCTGAGGAAAGCCTGATGGACTACATGGGGTCCGTACGGCGCCTTGCCCGATTGGCATATTCCACGTATGCAGTCGAGGAACGTAATGCACACGTTCTGGATCGATTTCTTGCTGGGCTCCGAGAACCCAGAGCCAAAGATGAGTAACAACTAAGGCCACCAAAAGACCTTGCCGCCCCAGAATCAATAGCCGAGATCCTGGACTAGAACGGACACCGTGAAAGGTGACTGCAAGGAGTTTTCGCTGCAGGCTTCAGACAGGAATAGAGAGCACCACCCAGAGAAAATGGTGAGAGGAAACCCCTAATGATGCCCACATGCTACATCTGTCGCCAAACCGGGCACACCTTGCGATTTTGCCGGGATCAAGGAGGACCGAGTAAGTCCACATCGAAAGTTGTTAATGCCAACAATTTCACAACTGTGAATATGGACGTGGGATTACCATTTGTGGAGTTAAAGGTAGAGGGCAAAGCAATTAATTGTTTGTTAGATTCTGGGTCGGTACGCAGTTTGGTAAGTAACAAAGAAACTGTTTGGAGATCCAAGGCCAACCCCTCGAAGGAGGCTCACTTGGTAGAAGTAAACGGGTCACCGTTGACCGTACACGGGCTTGTGGAGTTGACGTTACGAGTAGATAAACAGAAAGTCACCCATCAATTCACGGTTGTAGAGAATCTCCCAGTTGCCACTGTTTTGGGGGCCGATTTTCTACGAAGGACGAAGAGTATCATTAATCTTGGTACTCATTGAGTCTCAATGGGTGGTTCCTGGTTGAATTTTAAGATGGAAAGGAAAGATGTGAGTTCACAAATAAACATGCAAAGGTCGCGGAATTCGAAAATCTGATAGCATCCGTCTCTGAAGGAGTTCCCGAGGAGACCCAAACGCATATTCGGAAGCTAGTGCAAGAGTACCACTCGGTCTTCGTATGAGAAAGAGATCTTCTCGGTAGAACAAAGTTGGTTCATCACGATATAGACACGGGAGACACCAGACCGATCGGGCAGGCACCACGACGCATACCCATCCACCGACAAGCGGAGTTGAACAACCTAATGGAAGAGATGCTCCAGCAAAACATTATTAGACCATCCAAATCCCCTTGGGCCTCACCAGTAGTCCTGGCTAAGAAGAAGGACGGGTCGTTACGCATGTGCGTTGACTATCGGAAACTGAACAAAGTCACACGTAAGGACTCGTTTCCACTGCCTCGTATAGATGATACACTGGACGCACTATCAGGCTCGAAATGGTTCTCTACTTTGGATCTTGCATCGGGGTATTGGTAGGTCGAGGTGAACCCCAGAGATTGAGAAAAGACGGCTTTTACAATCCCTACTGGTCTATACGAGTTTAATACTGTGCCTTTCGAACTAACAAACGCTCCTGCGACGTTTCAGAGGCTGATGCAGATAGTATTAACCGGTCTGTAACCAGATAAATGTGTATTCTACTCGGACGATACCATTATTACTGGCAGCTCAATAGAAGACCACCTACGACATTTAAGGGACGCAGGGTTACGACTAAACCCCAAGAAATACGTATTTCTCAGACAGGAGGTGAAATACCTGGGACACGTCATCTCGCCACAAGGAGTACGTAGTGACCCCGGCAAGGTCGAACATGTGCAGCAGTGGCCAACACCAATTAACTTGGAGTAGGTGAATTTTCTCGGGCTGGCAGCGTTCTACCGAATATTTGTCCCTCAGTTCTCTACGATTAGTGCCCCATGACCGAACCATTAAAAAAGGGCAGAAGTTCCTTTGAAATGACGATTGCTCAAAGGCATTTGCTCGACTAAAAGAATATCTATGTTCAGCCCCAATCCTTGCATTCCCAGATACCAGTTCGGCGGCAGGTCAATCCGTGCTAGATACAGACGCCAGTGATGTTGGCATTGGAGCAGTCTTGTCAAAAATATCGCCAGATAAAACCGAAAGAGTTGTCGCTTACGCTAGTCGAACGCTAAACAAGAGTGAGCGCAATTACTGTACCACGCGTAAGGAGATGCCGGCGGTTGTTCATTTTGTACGGCACTTTCGTCACTTTTCGCCGGGGCGAAAGTTCCTGGTTAGGACCAACCACTCGTCACTGTAATGGTTGAAAATTTTTAAAGATCCAGAAGGCCAAGTGGCAAGTTGGCAGGAGACCTTGCCGGAGTATCAAGTCGATTGTTAACACAGGCCAGGAGTGAAACACAAAAAAGTGGATGCGTTATCGAGGCAACCGTCGCGATCTCATGGTGACTGCCCAACGTGCCGGTCCGACGCAGTCCTGGCAGTTTTTCTACAAGACTTGGGTGAACATTGTGGAGCCGTCCAGAAAGGAAACCCGGATCTAACTGTATTATACAAACATCTCGAGACCGGTATAGGGCGACCTCATCCAGAGCAGATGGTGGGGAACAGCTGGGAGGCTCGTTGCGTTTGGTCCCTATGGGATAAGATTGTTTTCGACCAGGGAACGATGTATCTGAAGCTCGGGCCAACACACAGCCGTACCGTAGTGGTCCCAGAAACTAAAGTGTTCCATTTACTACAACGCCTTCACACAGTACTGGGACACGTAGGACAAACTAAGCTGGAACAGGCCGCGAGACATTGATGGTGGCCCTACGGTACTTCCTCAAGAGGAAGCTTCAGCGAACTCCTGGTATGTATGGCACGAGAAAAAACCCTGGTCCAGCATGTCAACCAAAAAAGGCGCTGAAGAGAAAGGCAAATCCTATCAACCCTTGACCTTGTGATAACTAGGTTCTCGTCAGAGATTGAGATATCCAGGAACCGATTCGTAAGACCGATCATGGATTCCTCAAGTTTCGCATGAGTCCAGGAGGCAACCTGTACACGTAGCCTCAGGACATCCAAGACAGGCTGAAAGGCTTTAATGGACAATAAAGGGAGAGTTCGACTAATCGGACCTGGTAAAAAGTAATCTTCTGAGGTTTACAGATCAGGTGGCACCCTTCCAAAGGGTTAGGAGGCATGGAACTCTCCCGTGGTCATGTACCTGTCTAGAGCCAGCGCTCAGACGCAAAGAGGCAGCTTGGAGACGCTACCTGCAGAACACAGGACATATATACTTAGTGCACTACAGGGCGGAACGTCAACGAGCAACTCGTCTCCAAATTGAGTGTCGATAAGCGTACAAGGTGAAACTGGCACGGAATGCAAGGAGGAACCCTAAGTCATACTTCAACCACATATAATCCAAAGCCCAGTTCCGAAGAGAAGTAAGGAGCGTTGAAAAAGTGCAGAGAGAAAGAGAAACCTCAGCAGCCGGAAACGAAGCGGCATTTTTCTGCTTCTTTCAGCAGGTTTACCAGGAGGATCCAGGAGCGCCGGGACAAAAAGGAGCAAGAGAGCAGCCAACCACGTCCATCAGTGATTATCCTGATCGATCTATGAAAATTCTTCCTGCAAAGCCCAGCTATTCCACCTTGATTCCACATTTCGTAAATTCCACGTTCTATTCACCTAACACCATCCGTCTCATACATACATAGACATTTGACGTTCCACCTCCCTTGTATAATTACACATCGATCCAACTATCTGACTTTGTTTGTTTTACTGCTTCATTCGTACCCTATTTGTTTTAGGCGCGACCTGACCACTCACATTTGACTCGTTCGAGTGCAGCGTGACGGTGAGCGTACCATTCTCATCCAGACTCATTTTCTTCGGTTCAGTTTTATTGAATCGCGCTCACTGTAACACTTGGCTCTTGTTTTCGGGTGGTTTCGAGATCACTTTGAGGTTCGCACAGATTTCATTTGCTTATTTGATAGTTTATTAATGCAGTACCGTAGAAACTCGCTGAATCGTTCGTTATATTGACATTTTGGGATCCGAATTCGGCTACGCGTTGCTCGTTCATTTATTCTGGAGGGGGGGGGCACAGTGATAACTTCATAAATGTCGACGAAGTCCAACGTACTCCCGAAGGGCTTGTGGCTACGAAGGCTGCAGACCCTGACGGGATTAATCTAGCTGTACTGAAACCGCTGACGGGACGGCTGGCAGTGCTCATCAGCCACCTCCCCAACGCCCCCTTAGTGATGGGTAAGCTGCCAGAGGATTGACAACTAGCAAGGGTTGTCCCAATCGACAAGGGGGAGATAGGAAATCGGGCTCGAATTACCGATCAGTGAGCCTGACTTCAATAGTACTAAAAGTAATTGAAAGAATTGTACGCGACAGGATCGTCAACCATTTCGTCGTTTATGATCTGCTCACCGCAGATGAACACGGTCAAGAAACGGTCATGTCAATCCAACCTGCTTTGCTTCTTAGACAAAGTTACAAGGCCATTGGTCAAGGGGAACGGGTAGAGGTTTGCTATCTCGAATTCGCCAAGGCTTTCGACTCGCTGAACCACCGACTGCTTCTAATGAATCTATGCGGATTCAGACTCACCCCTAGGGTAATGACGTGGATCACAAGATGCGTGACAGGCCCGAGTTTCGAGGTTGATAAAGCAGAATACAGGTCAAAAAGAGGAAGGGTTTGCAGTGGGTTCCCGCAGGGGTCCGTCCTAGACCCACTCTTCTTTCTGCTCTACATAAACGATCTCAGCTGGGAACTCGAAAACCCCTGCTTTAAGTTCGCTGCCGATATGATAATCTTCGGGTCCGCGCCNATGATAATCTTCGGGTCCGCGCCAAGGGAATCGATACAGAGAGACTTAGACAAGATTTAGGAGTGGTCCGAGGTATGGGACCTTCCTCTAAAGGCCCGTAAGCACCAGCGCCTCGTTGAAGAAGGAAGGCACCACAGCAGGAAACTCATAAGGCCACCTGGACAACAGGTCGAAATTGCATCAGTGTCCTCTACACGAGACTTAGGATAAAGTATGAACTCAGACTTTCTTCCCTCTTTGCAGTGTTGGGATGCCGTGAGGAAAGCATCTAAAGCCCTGTATCAGCTCCGACGTGCAATAGAGTCCAGGAAGTCGAAGGTCCTCTTACCCCTCCATAAAGCGTTTGTACGGCCACACCTCGAATATTGTGCTTAGGCGCAGCGCCAGTTCTTGGTCAGAGATGCCAAAACGCAAAAGAAGGTTCAACGACGCTTCAAAAGTGCTTCGGAGGAACAAGAGAGCTCTCGTATGAGAAGAGATCAGCGGTAGTGCAGTTCTTC